CTTAGTCTAGCCTAAACATGCTCAACACACTTGCATTAGCCCACAGTTAGGCAAAATCAACGCAAAGCCTATTCTACAATAAAATGTTGAGTATATCATTGAATTTTTTTTTTTTTTTTTTTTTTTTTTTTTTTGAGTTGGAGTCTCACTCTGTCCCCCAAATTGGAATGCAGTGGCCGCTCCCGGCCACCACAACCTCCCCTCCTGGGCTCCGGCGATCCTTCCGCCTCAGCCTTCCAAGTAGCTGGAATTACAGGCATGCGCTACCACGCCCTGCTGATTTTTTGCTTTATTGTAGAGATGAGGTCTCACTGCCCAGGCGGGTCTCGAACCCGCGGGCTCAGGCAATCCACTCACCTCAGCCTCCCAAAGGCGCAGGATTACAGGCTGAGCCACCGAGCCCGGCTTTATCATTGAATTTATTGAATACTGTACTGAAAGTGAAAAACAGAATGGTTGTATGAATACTCAGAGTACAATTTCTGCTGAATGCATGTGGCCTTTTTACCCATCATGAAGTCTAAATGAACCATCGTAAGTTGAAGATTTAAAAATTCATTTTGCCAGGCTCTTTACATTGTTGAGTTTAATCCATTTTCATTTGATGAAATTACTGATAAGAAAATATCTATTCCTGCCTATTTACCATCTATTTGTCTGCTTCCTATATGTCATATTATTTTTGTTCCTCAGTTCTTTCATTATTGTTTGCTTTTGTGTCACATATTTTGTAGTGGGTCATTTTTATTCCTTTCTGTTTATTTTTATGTTTTTGAGTTATTTCCTTAGTAGTTGCCCTGGGGGGTTAATTAACATTTTAATTTATAACAATCTAGTTTGATTTATTAACCAATATAGTTTCAACAGTATATAAAAACTTTGCACCTATATAGCTGCATTCCCCCCACTAGCTATTTTGTCACAAATTATATCTTTATGGATTGTGTGCCCATTAATGTAGATTTATAATTGTTGGTGCCTGCATTTGTCTTTAAATTATGTAGGGAAAAAAAGAGTCATTGCAAACCAAAAATACATTGTCAGTGGCTTTTACATTTACCTCTGTGTTAACCTTTACCAGTGATTTTTATTTGTGTGTGTGTATTTGAGTTATTATCCATTGTCTTTTTTTTCAGCCTAAAGGCTTCCCTTGAGCATTTTTGTAGGGTAGTACTAATGACAAACTCTCAAGTTTTTGTTTATGTGTTTTTGTCTTCTTTCTTTTTGAAGGACAATCTTGGCAGACATAGAATTCTTAGCTCATATTTGTCTTTCAGCACTTTGAATATATCATCCCAATGCCTGGTGGCCTCCATGGTTTCTGATGAGAAATTGGATGTTAATCTTACTAAGGACTCTGCATGTGATGAGTCACCTCCCTCCTGCTGCTTTTAGAATACTCTCTTTATCTTCCAACAATTTAATAAATTTGTTTCAGTGTGAATCTCTATCTCTGAGTTCTTCCTACTTGAGTTTGTTATGCTTTTTTGATTTATATGTTTCTGTCTTGCATCAAATTTTGAAAAGTTTTATCAACCATTTTTTCCATTTTTTTTCCTGTTCCTTTCTTTCTCTCTTCTCTGCAACAGGGACTTTATTATGTGTATGTTTGATGGTAGTCCCTAAACCTCTTAGACTCTGCTCATTTTTAAAATTCTCTTTTATTTCTGCTTTTTAAACTGAGTAATATCAATTGCCCCATCTTCATGGCTACTAATTCCTTCATCTCCCTGCTCAAACCTACTATTGAACTCCTCTTCTGAATTTCTTATTTCAGTTTATTATGCTTTTCAACTCAGACTTTTATTTAGCTCCTATTTATTTTTATTTTTATTTTTATTCATTTATTTTTTTTTTTGAGTTGGAGTCTCACTCTGTCGCCCAGTCTGGAGTGCAGTGGCCACTCCCGGCCACCGCAGCCTCGACCTGCTGAGCTCCGGTGATCCTTCTGCCTCAGCCTTCCTAGTAGCCGGAATTACAGGTGCACGCTACCACGCCTGGCTAATTTTTTTTTTTAATTTATTTATTGTAGAGATGAGGTCTCGCCTGCCCAGGCGGGTCTCGAACCCGCGGGCTCAGGCAATCCACTCACCTCAGCCTCCCAAAGGCACGGGATTACAGGCTGAGCCGCCAAGCCCGGTTAGTTCCTGTTTATAATTTATATCTCTTTATGATGATTCCTATTTGATGAGAATTTACATTCAAGGTTGCCTTTAGTTTTTTATACATGGTTTCCTTTAGGTCTTTGAATCTTTATTTTTTTAAAATAGAGACAGGGTTTCAATTTACATTCAAGGTTGCCTTTAGTTTTTTATACATGGTTTCCTTTAGGTCTTTGAATCTTTATTTTTTTAAAATAGAGACAGGGTTTCACTGTGCTGCCCAACCTGGTCTTGAAATCTTGGGCTGAAGCAATCCTCCCACCTCAGCCTCCCAAAGTGCTGGAATTATAGGCATGAGCCACCATGCCTGGCCTTAAACATATTTTAAGTGGTTGATTTATTTCATTTGTCTATTAAATCTAGTATTTGGACTTCCTCAGGGACAGTTTCTACCAATTTGTTTTTCTTATAATAGGCCATGCTTTTGTTTCTTTGTCTACTTCATAATTATTTTGCTGAAAACTGGACATTAGGACTGTTACAGCAATTCTGGAATCAGATTTGTTTCTTCATCTCTGGGATTTGTTGTTGCTTATTGTAGTTCATGCTGTGTGTATTTTTAGTGATGACTATATTTGTCATGTGTGGCTACTGTTAGCTTAACAGTCATCTAGGGATTTGTCAGAGATTTCTTTGAAGGCCTGAAACCAAAAACAAAAACTCCCAGTCTCTTCAAATAGACTCTGTGCCTATCTTCATTAGCTAGGCAGTTTAGAATTCTTCTTTGGCCTTCCTTCATGTTTATGCAGAGCCTGCCAGTCAGAAAATGGTGAAGACTAGCACTTTCTCACATCTTTTCTGAGCATATGCACAGCCCTGAGTATGTGCTTGTCATTCTAGATTCCTAGGAATACGAGGAAGCTTTTAAAAGCACTCTTCCTCAAATATTTTCCCCATTTTTCCTCTCAGGCTTTTTGGTTAGTCTTTTGTTTGCTTCTGCAGTTTTTTTTTTAACCCCAGGCAGTAGTTGCTAATACATTTGCCTTTAATGTTGATCACACATTCCCCAGTTAGCCAACTCAGTCCTCAAAGAATTGGGAGTTAGAGAAATAAAGGCAAGGCATTTGAGCCTGTCCTTCAGTGAGCCACCAGACAGATCAGAAAAAAACAAACACAGGCCGGGCTCGGTGGCTCAGCCTGTAATCCCGCACTTTGGGAGGCTGAGATGAGTGGATTGCCTGAGCCTGCAGGTTCGAGACCCGCCTGAGCAATTTGGCGAGACCTCATTTCTACAATAAATCAAAAATCAGCCGGGCGTGGTAGGGCGTGCCTGTAATTCCGGCTACTTGGAAGGCTGAGGCAGAAGGATTTCCGGAGCCCAGCAGGTCGAGGCTGCGGTGGCCGGGAGCGGCCGCTGCACTCCAGTCTGGGCGACAGAGTGAGACTCCAACTCAAAAAAAAACAAACAAACACAGAACACCCTCTGTTCTGCTCCCCTCCCCAGTATTAGGTGCACAGGTTGTCCTTAAGACTGCAGTCAAATCAGGGGGAAGAAGATGGAGCTAGAGTCAGGTAAAATGGCATAAACCTTCCCTACCTAAAATCAGCTGGGTTATTTTCTAGATTACGCATTCTACTGTTCGCTGTTAACTTTTAATAAGTTTTCAGAGTTCCAATGAAGTTTATTCTGACCGTTTTGCAGTTTATTCACTGTTTTTGTCTCCCCCTCCATCACTGTCACTCTCTTTACTTCTCACAAGTCTCTTTTACACATATCTGCTAGAATTTGAGAGTACAGTGGTAAATGAGACAAACATGGTGCCCTCCCTCATGGAACTGTCTAATGCCATCCTTCCCTATGAACTGGATGAAGATCTACTTCTTGCACTGGCTTTATATTCTCTATGGCTAAAAGTTTTGGGGCTTTTGACATGTGTATTTGAACTTAGGCATGGACTTCTTGAATTGTTTATAAACCTTATCACCCTGAATATTGGGTTAAAGATTATGACATATTTGTTCCTCTTCAGAGTTACAATATTCATTAGAATTTAGGCATGGTCATTTTGCTGCTTCCAAAATCCCACTTTCTTATCTCTAGAAGTATTGGCTTCAGTTTCATGGAGTTGATGGCCCCGGCACAGTTCCCCTGCATCATGTGTTTTTTCCCTTCATAAATAGGGTGTCATGTTGATAAACCCAGACTGATATCTCAGTTGGAAGAAGAGGACAAGATGATGACAGAGGAGAGAGACATTCTCCCAAGTGCCTGCCCAGGTGAGCACCAGGTGGATATGAGCCCTTGCAAGGAATAGCTCTGGCCGGGAACTCATATTGAGAGAATTACATCAGTTAATGTCAATCAGGAACTTTGTAAAGTACCCTTTTTTCTGACAAAGATGGAAAAGAATGTTTGGTGTGAGGTTCCTTATGTACTTTCTTTCATCTTTAATCCTCTCTTTATCATCTTATACTTTGAGCTCAGGGAAAAGACAAAGATGCTGCTGTTTTTTAAGTTTTTTCTTTTTCAAATTACAGTGGCTCACCCCTGTAATCCCAGAACACTGGGAGGCTAAGGCAGGAGGATTGCTTGAGACAGACTAGGAGTTCAAGACCAGCCTGGGCAATATAGCAAGACCCTGTCTCTACAAAAAGTGTCTTTTTAAAAAAATTATCTGGGCATGTTAGTGCATGCCTGTGTCTGTAGTCCCAGCTACTCAAGAGGCTGAGATGGAAGGATCACATGAGTTGAAGGCTGTAGGGAGCCATAATTGTACCACTGCATTCCAGGCTGGTGGCAGAGCAAGACCCTATCTCTTCAAAATAAATAAATAAAATAAAAGTTGAGTTTCTTCCCATTTTGCATTCCTAATAACTTCTTTTTTCAGTCTCAGTTTTTCTAGAATCTTTTTTTAAATATCTAAAATTTTCATCACCAAATCCTCTTCATTACAAACCTCCTCAAAAACCCCAAATCCTTATAGTGTGCCTTCACCACTTCTTTTCTCCATCGACTTAAATTCCTTTTCACTTTGTTTCAGATTTGGAGGCTCTACTTAAAGCCAATTGGTTAACTCCTAAGAAGCATGTTTTCAGAAAAGAACAGTCTAAAGGTGTAAAAGCGGTAAGACTGAAATGGATTATTTCTCGTTTTCCACAGTAGGAGAATGCCATAAGTTTAGAAAAGGCACAGAAATAATGAGGAGAGTCATTAAAGGACAGTGTTATTTACACTTGAGAAAGTGGTATAAATGGAGAGACACATGAAAATTGTGAATTTTGAGAAAATTATAACTTAGCCCCAAACTTGTTTCTTCATTGAGAGTTACCACAAGTAAATATTTCCTAAATAAGACTCAAGTATTGACTGTTCAAATCATGATTTGATGTCCAATTCATCAGAAAATGTTTTGTGAATAGGTTAAGGACTTGTGGCAAAGCATCTATCTTTCTTCATTTCCTAAGAGCTTAAATCAGGCAGAAGCCATAATCAACCACTGAAAATAGCCAAAACATTAAATTATTAATTAAATTAATGTATATATACATTAAATTAATGTAACACAGTCTCCAGGAGAAAGAATTTCTGTGACACCATTAAATATCAAAGACATTATAAATTATTATCATTCATCTCTTGATCAATAGGAAAGAAGTCATCGTGGAGGGAAACTCAATGAATGCAATCAATGTTTTAAAGTCTTCAGCACAAAATCTAATCTTACTCAGCACAAGAGAATTCATACTGGAGAAAAACCCTATGACTGTAGCCAATGTGGAAAATCCTTCAGCAGTAGATCTTACCTTACTATTCACAAGAGAATCCACAATGGAGAAAAACCCTATGAATGCAATCACTGTGGGAAAGCCTTCAGTGATCCCTCATCTCTTAGATTGCATGTGAGAATTCACACTGGAGAAAAGCCCTATGAATGTAACCAGTGTTTTCATGTCTTCCGCACTAGTTGTAACCTAAAAAGCCACAAAAGAATTCATACAGGGGAGAATCACCATGAATGTAATCAGTGTGGAAAGGCTTTTAGCACAAGATCCTCTCTTACTGGGCACAATAGCATTCATACGGGAGAGAAACCTTACGAATGCCATGATTGTGGGAAAACTTTTAGGAAGAGCTCCTATCTGACACAGCATGTAAGAACTCATACTGGAGAAAAACCCTACGAATGTAATGAGTGTGGAAAATCTTTCAGCAGTAGCTTTTCTCTCACTGTGCACAAGAGAATACATACTGGAGAGAAACCTTATGAATGCAGTGACTGTGGAAAGGCTTTTAATAATCTCTCAGCTGTTAAAAAACACTTGAGAACTCACACTGGAGAAAAACCCTATGAATGTAATCATTGTGGAAAATCTTTCACGAGTAACTCTTACCTTTCTGTGCACAAGAGAATACACAACAGGTGGATATGAATTCCTGTGGGAGATTACTATGGGAATTTTATAAAACACTCACTGATCTCATCCCTAAGACAGTTTGAGAGAACTCATGCTGGATATATAAACTATCTGTTGCAGCATAACACATTATCCCCCAAAATGTAGTGGCTTTAAACACCAAACATTTGTTATCTCACAATTTCTGTAGGTCAGGAATTTAGAAACAGCTTATCTCAGTGGTTATGCCTCAGGGCCCCTCATGATGTTATAGTCTGAATGTCAGCCAGAGCTAGTCAGCTGAAGTCTTTACTGATGAAAGGTCCACTTCCAAGCTGTCTTATTTACATTCCCGGCAAGTTAGTGCTGGCTTTGTTACAGGACGTGCTGTTCCTCACTATCTAGGCCTCTCCTCAGGGATGAGTATCTATTTTATTTGGCAGCATGTTCCCCCCCAAAGCAAGCGACTGAAGAGAGGGGGCCAGTACACAATGTCTTTTATGACCTAGCCTCAGAAGGGCATAGTTTCACTTCTTTCCGATTGTATCGGTCACACACATCGGTCCTAATGCAATATTGGAGAAGACTATGCAAGTTATGAATACCAGCAGACATCACTGAGAACCATCTGGGAAACTTTCCATGAAATTATGAAGAAAATGAAAAAACTCCTTCAACATATCTTCATCCTTTTCATCTGGCCACGAAACAGCATTCAGTAACTCTCCCGTTAATTCACTCTGGAGAGAAACTTTATGAGTACAGTCTAACTGGTAAAGCTTTTAGCTCAAACTCTGATCCTATTGTGAGAAGATTATGTACTGGGAAAAGCCTGAGGAGTGGAACAGCTATTGGAAAGCCTCCAGGGATATCCCCACAGTCATGTGGCAGCTCACACTGAGAGAGAAACCCTATGGAGATCAGGATGCAGAAGGCTTCAAGGACACTCATCCTTGAAGACCCACATGGGAAACCACACAAGAGGAGCATTCACAAGAAATGTGGAAAACCAAAACAGAGAAAGAATGAAATAAATGTGGAAAACCTTATAGCAAAAGTGTTCACATTACTAAGCAAAATAACAGCGTGGTACCCTGCAGTGACTACGGGAAAGTCTTGAATGTTTTCTCGGTTTTTAGAGGATGAGAATACATTCTGAAGCGAAAGTCCCATTGAATGTTATCAGTATTGGAAAACTTTCCATTTTTCCACATTTGTTAGGAAATTTGTAGCGCTTCATACTGCCAAGAAACTTGCGAATATAAAGATTGAGCAAATGCCTTCAGTGATGCCTCTGTGTTAGGAAACATATGGAAAACCTGGATGCAAAACCTATGAGTATATTAAATTTGGAAAGTGTTTCAGTGATTTCTCTTTTTCTTGAATGTGAGAGAACTTGTATAGAGGAAACCCTAGGAATGTCATCAATTTTAGGACACCTCGGCATCAGCTCTTCAGTGAGTGGTCATAGAGTAATTTACACTGGAAACAAAAAGTGCAAATGTGAGTATGGGATTACCTTTATCAGTGTCTCATCTGTAGCTTGGACCACTAGCTCATTAATATTCATTCTTTTTCTTTTAATATAAACATTTGTGTATACCTGTTCCCTAAAATAAACTTTAAATTACATTCTATCATTTTAATGCAGTATGTTTATTATAATTTGCTCCTTAAAGCTATCGATACACTGCATATTCATAAAAAGTTATTTCTGAATAGCTTTTGAGTGATTTAGTTTATCATAATAGAAAGTAGATCATATTTGTATACACTTTTTTCCACTTTAATGATAGTTTTGTCAGAGTATGACAAAATATGATACTGAATGTTATTTCTCTGTATCCTAGTATGGCAGATACTTAGCTTCTTTCCCAGTGTCCATTCTCTTCTACTTATTTACTTAAAGAAAACGCTATTTTGTTAAAGTTGTCTGTGAGCAGTATCAAAAAGCACTCAATCTGCCAGGCTTTGCTGAAGTCCAAATAGGCATTGTCCCACTGTGCTGGCCTTGAGAAGCAAGGAAAAGTCACTGGATGGAGCACCACCTGGCTTTTCTCCTCACCTCTTATCTATTCATCCTGACTTTTCTTTCTTATGGAAAGTGGCCTCAAGATCTAGAGTTTAAAGAGCTGTTTTTGTTTTTGTTTTTTGCCAGGATGACAAAAGCCCTAGTGCAGCAAAGTATTATATCACAATGATTTGGGCTCTCCGAGAGCCTTTAATTGGCTGTATTGGCTGTAGATCACTTATTAAGATTTCTTACATGGTTGAAAGAAACCTCTAACAGGTTTGAAGCCAAATTGATATGCTGTTTGGTTTTTAGTGCAATATCTAACTGGTGAACCTATTAGTTGGTCAGATTTAATCCGTGTTTCATGTTCCTCTGAAAACAATGTATATTCTCTAATATTTAGATATAGGGTATATGCACATTATGCAACTAACTATTTTAGGTATAGCACAGCTGTTCAGATTTTTTCTCTCTTAATCTTATTTGGTGATAGAGATGTAGTACAGTCTTCCATTATGCATATGAATTAACATTCTGTTTGTAATTCTGTCATTTTTTATTTATATATTTTGATGTAACATTACTAGGTGCATACAAAATTAGGCATTTCCTTGTGAATTGTTCCTTTTTATGTAGAGACATATTGTTAGATGGCAAATTCTAATAAATGATCCAGCCTTTATATAACATTTGCCAGAGACCACACACTCTTCTAAATGACATATGGATATTGATACCTGAGTATTCATTATAAGGTTGAGTGTGACTTTTATTATCCCTAATTATAGATGAGCAAACTGCTATAATACACTCGTTATTTGCCTGAGTTTACTAACCAGTAAATGTTAAGCCCAGATTTGAACCCAAACAGTTCATGCACTTACCCACTAAGCTATTTATTATGTCCTATGTGCCAGACAAAGTTTTGCTATTGAATCACTTCATCCTAATGGAGGAGGGACAGATTATATAAAGACCCAGAAAATATGATGTCATAAATGTTATATAAAAAAATAAAACATTTTAAGAAACTAAGGGGAGTTGGAGACTTGTAATTCTACAAAGAGTAGGAAGGGATGGGTGCTTGAGCAAAGACCTCAATAAGTGGGGACAGTGAGTCGTATGAATTTGTGTGACAAGAGCACTGCTAGCACACACAGGCCTACAATGAGGCCAGAATGACTGGAGTAGAACAAGTGGGGAGTGATAAGGGAGTGATAGAAGATGATGTGATCAGAGACATGGTGGGCCCTATCTTGGGTTTTCTGGGTCATTCTTAGGACTTTTCCTTATTCTTTCTGTGAGTTGGCATATCAGTCAGAATCCCACAGGAAACCACTGACACCCTCAGAGTAGTACAATTCAAGTTTTCATAAAAGGTCTACCCTTAGTTGTGGACAAGATGCCAAGAAACCACAAAAGGCCAAATAGTACCCCATAACTGGGAAGAATCAAGCTCTATTAATACCTCTAAGCCTGAAGGGACACATGGAGGGCCACAGAGGACAAAACCACCTGAGTGGACAGGAGTGAACTTTCCCAAGGCAAAAGAGTGCCCCACCCCACCTACACAAATGCACACACACTCAGAAACACAATCACAAAGACAAATTCACAAATTGGAACTCAGTTCAGGGCATTCTCCCATCTCCTTCACCCTGTCTCAGCTGTCCTGAGAATGAACTTCCATAGAATTGTCCCTGCTTTCTCAGGGCAGGAAGCCAGAAGTGGCCTCTCAGGACAATCAGGAAGACATCAAACCCAAAATCCTCTCGATATCTGTGCATTTCCCACTGCATGTCTTTTCTGAGAAGTTCATTATCTATGGGCAACATATCCCAGGAGGTTTATCTTAAAACATCAATTTCTTATTACGATGGAAAATATACAACACACTGACTTGTTAAAGATGGTTTAGAATCACATATTTTAAGATGTGCTTTACACAAAGTATGTGCTTAAAGAATATATGGGCCTAATAGCATTCCTTCAAACTGGGACATTTGAGGATTGGAAGGAACTACTGGTATTAAAAGTTATGCTCGGCCAGGCTTGGTGGCTCAGCCTGTAATCCCAGCACTTAGGAAGACCTAGGCAAGTGGATTGCCTGAGCTCACATGTTTAAGACCAGCCTGGGCAACTTGGCAAGACCTCAACTCTACAATAAATCAAAAATAGCCGGGATCGGTACTGCATACCAGTAGCTCTGGCTACTTGGAAGGCTGAGGCAGAAGGATCACCAGCGCCCAGTAGGTCAACAATGGGGTGTCTGTGAGTGTGCCACTACACTCCAGCCTGGACGACAGAGTGAGACTCCAACTCAAAAAAAAATTACGCTCAGGCCAGGCATGGTGGCTCACGCCTATAATTCCAGCACTTTGGGAGGCCAAGACGAGAGGGTTGCCTGAGCTCAGGGGTTTGAGACCAGCCTGAGCAACATGGTGAGACCTCGTCTCTACAATAAATCAGAAAATCAGCCAGGCATGGTGGCGCATGCCTGTGCTTCCAGCTACTTGGAAGGCTGAGGCTGAAGGATCGCCTGAGCCCAGTAGGTTGAGGCTGCGGTGGCCATGAACATGCCACTGTACTCTAGCCTGGTGACAGAATGAGACTCCAACTCAAAAAAAAAATTATGCTTGTACAACAGGAGCAATGAAGATAAACAGCACCCCTTTCCACAAATCTCAGCTGGAGATAGGAAATACTTTAAGGGAACATGCACTGATTAGGTTTGCATTTTGAACTGATTTGTTGTGGAGAAAGAAGATGGAGAGAACTGCAGAAACAATTTGAAACTACAATAACATATTTATTTCAAGAATGATTACAAGCAGCAGTTGTCTGTGTGTCAAAATCTGAAAATGTGCACAAAACCCCCAGTGAGTGAAGAAGGACAGACTTTCTCAAGGAAAAAAAAAAGCACCATACACACTAGGAAGGCCCACTCCATGGGGCTACACACATACACACACACACACACACACACACACACACCATCATCATCATCATCATCACTAAATGTCCCTCACTCTTGGTCAAAGGCCATCAGAATCAATGTCTAAAGAACCTCTCTGTTGGTCTCAGTGTAGGAAGGCAGGAACCAGACTCTAGAAATCTTGGTAGGAATCAAACCACACACTCTTAAGAGATACAGCTTACGTATTTTTCTCTGCTTCTCTTGCTTGGCTTAAGGGCTCATGCCTATGGATAACAATTCACAGATAGTCCTTTTCAAAATCAACTGATTTTTATTATATTAAAATATAAATTCACATGTGAAAAGTAACTATTAATATTTTAGCCAATGAATGAACTGGGTGTAACAGAAAGTATCTAGTACTATTAGGCAATACCAACAAGACAGGAGGGTGAGTCAGAGGGATGTTGATGCAATTAGGCTGATTCTGACTGCATTATCCTTTACTGACTGGGTCCTCGTAGGCCCCTCCTATTTGAATCTCGGGATCAATATTCCCATCAATCCTTGCTGGCAGATAGCCTGGCTCTTCCCAGCAACATAAAAGATTTCCCCCAAGAGCTCACCCTGTCCTGTCCTGATCCTGCTGCAGTCCCTGGGAATATCTTTCCAAAGAGCAAGCTCTTTGTGGTGTTGGGCTGACACCTCTCCTTCAGGTGAAGGAAAGAAACAAGGGGCTGAGGGACATAGCTACTGCCAGGAGATAGATGGAGATTGTCAATTGGTGGGACAGAAAAGCCCAGAAACCTTGGCCATGAATGGTGGCCAGCGCCCAAGAAGCCCCAGTGACTCTTCCACAGAATGGAAGAGTCACAATCCAGGAGAGAGCGGGTGAGGGGAGGACTGGGCTTGGGTGACTTGCCTGTGGGGGGTGGGGTGCGTGTTGATGCAAATTGGGGAGGAGTGAAGGGGAGGGGGGTGCACTGGTCTGCAGTGAGATTGGACGTTTTCCATTGGGGACAACAGGGAATGCAGCCCGTGAGTACACACCATGTGCTGGGGAGGCTTCTACACCTCGTCAACTCACCTGTGTCATGGTTGCTCCCACCAGCCATCCTTTTTGCTTGCTCTACACAGAGAGGGTCTCTGGAGTTTGCAAGATGGATACTGTGGGACCTGGGGCAAGGATTCCACGATCCGACATAGAAGAAAAAAAATCCCTCAATTTCTTTGACTTTCCTTCACCCCCCGATGCCCATCCATACATTCCCTGCATACACACAGGTGTCACCGGACTGGCATCTCAACATCTTTCGCAAAGGCCTTAGAGGCAAGGGGAGGTTTGTCTGTCTCACTTTGGGCCCCTGAAAGGGCAAACTCTTCCCTGTGGGCACCATGCCACATTCCCAGCCTTTTCTTAACCCAGGAAAGTCCAGGTACGTAGAGTTAGAAGGAAAGGCAGGTGCTAGGACAGATTAGGAACAGCTTTCTTCTGAAAAGTGCCTGTGACCTTGAACCTCAAAGAGGCTATGGGCAGGGTGAGAACTAAGGGTTCGTGAGATGAACACCAGGTTGTTGCATGCAACATCCGACTTGCTTCTCTATGTCCTGCAGCACCAACAGTCCGGAATTGAATCCCCCAAAATGTCAGAAAGTGGGCCTGGGTCCCAGGACAGGTAAAGCCTTTTCTGTTGTGTTTCCTAAGACCTAAGAGGTCCCTGCTAATAAAGCAGCGTACACCAAATCCTGAGAGGAGCAGGTGTTCTCTCCAGATCTGTGGGCAGGTGTTGCACTATTTGTTTCTGTTGGGTTGGGTCTTTCTCTGGGTCCCATCTTCACCCCCAAGTGCATCCTGCCTGACACGGGCGCCTTCACCTCCACATTCTCCTGTCCCCACAGGTGCAGAACCTGCCCCAGTGCAGCCAGTTCCCGACCACCGTGCACAACTTCCTCCATCAATACCTCAGGTGAAATCTCATGTCTTTGGAGGGAATGGATAGGACATGTCTGCCCCTGATCCAGGCTCCTAGGGACATCCAGGGAGGGATCTTCCCAATGGGTGTCCGTAGAATTGCAGAGGCTGGGTGGCCCTGCAAAGTTAAATACAAGTGGGTAAACCTGCTGGAAGCTCCATCCCCAGGTCTGTCCCTGTTGGAACCTCCCTGGAAGGACAATGACTCATGTCTTTTCTCCCACAAGGCCCACAGGTTCCCAGCAGGCAGATGGTTGTCGTGGTCTTGGAACCAGGAATAGAACTGCAACTGCACCTGGGAACTGAGGCCCTGGTGCTGGGCCCCCAGAGAGCCCTGGAGCTCAACCTCGTGTGTGTGCTTGTCATAGTGGTCCCTGAGGTCCTCATAGGGTCTCTCATTCCCTTTCTGGGCCCTCTGGCTCCATCTCACAAGGACAGATACCATCTGGGAGATCGACATTGAAGATGGGTCTGTGAGAGCCCAGAGAGCAGAGACTCTGTGTGTCCCCACAGTGGAAGACGACAAGGAGGCTCCCCAAGGTCCCCAGCCCCTGATGGGACCCCCAGCAAAGCTCATGCCTAGAATCAGTACCCCTGCCCAGAATATCCTTTATCGCAAACCTTGCTACACAGCTGCTGCCTCTCAGGGCTCATCCCAGATGCCCAAGCCTGGTCCTGGGAGACCAGCTCTGCCAGAATTCCAGTTGAACCTGCGTGGCCTGGGGCCCTTGCCTGGCTCTGTTCTCAGATCTCTGCCTTTGTCACCCAGTCCAGGGCCCAGGACTCACCACCAGAGATGTTGCAGCCCAGCATGCAAGGCCTGAAGACGTCTCTTTCAAGAGTGACGGACTATGAGATCTCACGTTCCAAGCAAGAATCAGAGATACTGCATTCAGAATTATGCACTGCTGTTTCTTCTGCAATTTTCCTGAGCCAATTTTGCAGCCCCTGGGTAGACTGAGTTGCTGCCAGTATGCAGAAGGGGAGAAATGCTATGTCCTCTCATCCAAGTCTTTTCTCTGCCACAGATGCTGTTGACAAAAAGTAGAGCTACCTAGAGTTTGAGGAGAAAATATTTGCAAAAGTTGTATCATATCCCACAAATGGCACATACTCAGAATCTATAAAGACTCCAAAGGAGTCTTATCAAAACTCCAAAGGAACCAAACCAAATATCCTGCTCAAAAACCAACAAAAGATTTGAATAGACACTTTCCCAAAGGGGATCTAAGGAACAACTTCCAAATGTACTCCCCCCATCAGTCCCCGAGGGGAAATGTAACCAAATCCACCTTGAAACATACCACGAAGCCATTAGTGGAACCACAGGAAAAATGACCAACCACCCCCAAAAGTTGCATAGAATATGGAGTAGCTGGAACTCTCTTCCATTGCTGTCAGAGTGCAAAAACGGTACAATCACCTGGAAAATCATTTGACGGTTTCATTTACCATAAAACTTGTACTTACAGGTGAAACCAGTTTTCCCACTCTGTGATATTTCGCCTAGAGAAATTTGAGGTTATTTTGACAAAATCTCTGAAGGCCAAGGTTTGTAGCAATTATGTAAACAATTACCAAATGTGGAAGGGGCATTAATATTCTTCAATAGAGACATACACTGTGGCTTACTGCTTCAGTGGGCTGCAATTCAGCAATAATCGGGGTGGAAATTTTGTTTGTAAATTCACCTGTAAAAACTGAGATGTGACTCAGTTATTGGAATACTTGGATGTATATTTGTACAACATAGCTGTGTGCAACTTACCAGGACAGGTAAAACCTTACAGGACAGGTAAAACCTTACCATACAGGACAGTGTGCAACTTATCTTGTGACTGTGAATCTTATGAAATCTCTATACATATCAAGCCTCTTTGACCAAAGCCAACTTTGCAATTGAGGTGTATTGTAACAGTGAACCACACACTGTTTTTTAAAGGTGAGAATAAAGAATACAACACATCTTATTCATCATCATGATGTGAAAAATATTTGTATTGATCATATCTGTATTTCTTGGGTTAAATAAAAATGAATTTCATCTATTTGTATTTGTTTTATTTCATGTGTTTGCTCAATTTCTGCCGGGCTCGGTGGCTCAGCCTGTAATCCCGCGCCTTTGGGAGGCTGAGGTGAGTGGATGGCCTGAGCCCGCGGGTTCGAGACCCACCTGGGCAGCGAGACCTCATCTCTACAATAAATCAAAAAATCAGCCGGGCGTGGTAGCGCATGTCTGTAATTCCAGCTACTCGGAAGGCTGAGGCGGAAGGATCGCCGGAGCCCAGAAGGTCGAGGCTGCAGTGGCCAGAAGCGGCCACTGCACTCCAGTCCGGGCGACAGAGTGAGACTCCAACTCAAAAAAAAAAAAAAAAAATCAATTTCTACAGCACATTTTTTTCCGCTCAGAATCAAGCAGTCACTGAAGTCTGATGAACTCATGGAGACCAGGGGAGGAGGAGAATCCAAAACGTGTTTTCCCAAAAAAATTTTTTTTTCAACAGAATGGAGGGTGACAAGGGAAGAGCCCAGGGCAAGGTGGGGGGATAGTCCCAGAGCTCCTGAATGGCACACGAACAAAGCAGCAAAAAGTAGACAATATTTTCCTTGTCAATTGTTGGTGGGTATGTAGGTTGGTTCCATGATTTTGCTATTATGACTAGTGCTGCAATTGACAAACAAGTACAGGTATCTTTTTTTATACATTGATTCTTCCTAGTAGTGGGATCTCCTTAGACCAGGCATGACCAACCTGTGGCCTGTGAGCCACATGTGGCCCCAGGACAGCTAGTATTGTGACCCCACAAAATCTTTTAGCATCGTGTGTTTTTTAGCATTTCTTTTCTTTGTGACTTCATGCATAGTTCCATTTTTGAAGTTCACAATCAAGCCTTATTCATGACATCGATTTTTGGCAGCGCTTACATTTGTGAGTAGCTGTTTTCAATCATGAAGCACACGAAGAGCATATGGTAATTAAGAATGAAATACTAATTGAACTGATCTCAAGAAATTAATCAAAAGTAAACACAATTTAGCGATTAGGAAGAGCCAGACCCAGAAATTAGGGTCAAGATTTTTTGTGAATTTCCCTTGTGTTGGCTTCTGTTACAAATTCAATACATTTGGAAAACTTTTCAAAGAGTGTCATTTTAAAAATCACTTTAGGCCGGGCTCGGTGGCTCATGCCTATAATCCCAGGACTTTGGGAGGCTGAGGTGAGAGGATTGCCTGAGCCCATGGGTTTGAAACCAGCCTGAGCAACTCGGCAAGACCTCATCTCTACAATTAAAAATAAATAAATAAAATTTTTAAACGTCCATGACATAATCTAAAAAGTAATTTTTAAAAAAAGAATGAAATCATGTCCTTTGCAGCAACATGGATGGAGCTAGGTTCACCATCCTAAGTGAACTGACCCAGAAACAGAACACCAAACACCGCATGTTCTCATACGTGGGACCCAAATGGTCACAAAGGTGGAAATAATAGACACCAGGAGACCAAAAGGGGGGCGGTGGGGATGGGAATAAGGCTTCAGAAACTACCTATGGGGTACAGTATTCACTCTCTGTGGAACGGGTCACCTGAGATCCAATCCCCACCACCACACAATATGCCCATGTAACAAACATACATGCGTACCCCCTGAATCTAAATTTTTTTTTAAAAAGAGACAAGAAAAGACGTCATGGAGGGGGGACTCCCAGCAAAGAGGCTCCTATATAAACACCTGCTTTCCCTGTACAGCTGCTCCAAGCCGCACTCTAGTCCCGGACATCAACCTAGCACATGCCCCATTGTGTTTTCCTAGGATGAGGACAGAGCTATCGTGAGTTTATGCTGTTCCCCACACAGGGAGAAATGTTCCCTGCTGAGGACCAGGCTGCAATATTCCTCCAGCTCCTTCATCTCCTTGGCTCTCCTGAGACCAAGCATGTCCAAGCTGTGGCCAGTGGGCCACATGTGGCCCAGGACAGTTAGTAATGCAGCCCTACAAGATCTTTTAACATCATGCGTTTTTTAGTGTTTATTTTCTTCGTGACCCTATGCGTAGTTCCATTTTTGAAGTTCGCAATCAAGCTTTATTCATGACATCGCTTTTTGGCAACATGTACATTTGGGAGCAGCTGTTTTCAATTAGGAACCACACGAAGAGCAAAATTCGAACAAACATTTCTGACGAGCACCTTGAGAACTGACTGAGAATTGTGACCACTTCCACCAAACCAGACATTGATAGATTAGTTTTACAAAAACACAGTCAAATTTCCCACTAGTTTTATGTTGTTCTCATGTTTCTGAAATTTATAAGAATATAAAAAATAAAAGAAGACTTATGTTTATATACTAACTATATTATACAATTTATATGTGGCCCAAGATAATTCCTCTTTATTGGTGCAACCCAGGGAAGTCAAAAGGTTGGAAACCCCTGCCTTAGACACCCCAGTATTTGTTGCTGTGTTGAAAAGACCCTTCCATGTATTCGCTCTGATTCATCTATTTCTACTACTGCAGACATTTCCTGTGCTGTGAAATATGCAATATTTAAACCATCATGAATTATGGAAACCTGCTGACAACAAGAATGGAGACCTGTTTCTAAGTGGGTTTTCCCTCTCTACACCTTGAAAGTGAAACTAGAAAGAGCACTGCTATTTTCTCTGTTCAATCTAAGCTTTGAATTGTCACTAATTTAAGAGCAAATTCTTGGCCAAGTGCAGGGGCTTATGCCTGTAACCCAACATTCTGGAAAGCTGAGGTGGAAGGACTGCTTGAGCCCGGGAGTTCAGGACCAGCCTGGGCAACATAGTGACACCTCATCTCTACCAAAAAAAAAAAAATCACAAAAATAAGCCAAGTGTGGTGGTACCCACCTGTGGCCCAGCTATTTGGGAGGTTGAAGTGGGAGGATCACCTGAATCCAGGAGGTTGAGGCTGCAGTAAGTTGTGATTGTGCCTCTGCACTCCATCCTAGGTGGCAGAGCCAGACTCTGACTCAAAAAAGAAAAAGAATAATTTCTCAGGATGGAGTGGGCACTTGTTCTTTTTAAATGCTTCTATTCTAGGTCCTTTGCATCTCTATAAGAAATTTAAAATAGGCTTGTCAATTTCCACCAAAGAAAAAAGAGACTCCTCTGACTGTGACTTAAATCACATCAAACATATACATAAATCTGTGAAAACAGACATCTTAAAAACATAAGCAGTCGGGCACAGTGGCTCAAGCCTGTAATCCCAGCACTTTGGGAGGCTGAGACAAGAGGACTGCCTGAGCCCAGGGGTTTAAGACCAGCCTAGGCAACTTGGTGAGACCTCGTCACTACAATAAATTAAAACATTAGCCGCGTGCCTGTAATTCCAGCTACGTGGAAGGCTGAGGTGGAATGATCGCCTGAGTCCAGCAGGTTGACGCTGGGGTGGCAGTGAGCGTGCCACTGCACTCCAGCCTGGGCAACAGAGTGAGACTCCAACTCAAAAAAAACAAAAAAAGGAACCCACCATAACATGAACATAATATATGTTTACATTGTTAAGTCTTCTTTAACTACTGAAGCATTATTTTGTAGTTTTCAGTGTGCTTATCTGTTTATCTCTAAGTATATTATACTTTTATTCTTTCTCTTTTTTTTTTTTTTTTTTTGAGTGCAGTGGCACAATCATGGCCACCACAGCCTTGACCTGCTGGGCTCCGGCGATCCTTCAGCCTCAGCCTTTCAAGCAGCTGGAACTACAGGTGTAGGCTACCACGCCAGGCTAATTTTTGATTTATTATAGAGACGAGGTCTCACCAAGTTGTCTGGGCTGGTCTTGAACCTATGGGCACAGGCAATCCACTTGCCTTGGCCTCCCAAAGTGCTGGGATTACAGGCTGAGCCACCAAGTTCGGCCTTTATTCTATTTTAAAAGCTAACTTTATTTTATACTATAATTGGTCATTTGGCAGATGTAAAAAATACAAATGGTTTCTCTATGTTGTACTTGTATTATGTAATTTTCCTTAACTTACTTACTACTGTTTTTTTTTGTGTGTCCATCAGACTTTATACTAGTTGATCTTGTCACCAGTGAATAAATCATCTGACTTCTTCCTTTCTAATCTGATGCCTTTTACTTATTTTTCCTCCTTATTTTACTTTCTGGAAACTGCAGTCAGTGTGGAATAGAAGCGATGAGATGGACATCCTTGCCTTGTCTAGTGTTTGGAGGGCAGCTCTTTCCCCATGAATATGATGTAAACAGTAGGTGAGAGGTACATGAGTGTGTATGTGACTATGGAGGGGTTGTGTTTGTGTTGACTCCCCAAGTATACTCTCTAAGGAGTGCACAGAAAACACAGAAATGCAGACAAATAGATTCTTTTTTTTTTTTTTTGAGTTGGAGTCTCACTCTGTCGCCCAGACTGAAGTGCAGTGACTGCTCCCGGCCACTGCAGCCTCCACCTGCTGGGCTCCGGCGATCCTTCCACCTCAACCTTCCAAGTAGCTGGAACTACAGGCACATGCTACCATGCCTGGCTAGTTTTTTGATTTATTGTAGAGATGAGGTCTCACCAAGTTGCCCAGGCAGGTCTCGAACCCACGGGCTCAGGCAATCCACTCACCTCAACCTCCCAAGTCGCAGGATTACAGGCTGAGCCACCGAGCCCGGCTGACAAATAGATTCTTCATGTCCTATCTCTTCTTTGTTTCTCTCCTGCTTTCCATGTTCCGTGTTCTTTTCATCCCCTCCAAGAGAGAAGACAGAACCCTACATGCCTTGTGTCCACACTCCCTCTCCTGTTCTTTTCTTTGTCCAGTCACATGGTCATTCCCTGAAGAGCTCAGGCTGGGGGTAGGGGGACAGAGACATCCCTCCAGGCCCTACTGCTGTGACCCCAATCCCCTCTTATTTCCAAGAATGTTGACCAGGCAAGCTGAGGTCAAACTCAAGAGCAAACAGTTCAGCCGGGGGTGATGGCGTTTGCCTGTAGTCCCAGCTACTCAGGAGAATGGGGTGGGAGGATTGCTTGAGCCCAGGAGTTCAAGACCAGCCTGGGCAACACACTGAGATCTCATCTCTACGAAAAATCAAAAAATTAGTCAGGCGCAGTGGTGTGCTCCTGTAGTCCCAGCTACTTGGGAGGCTGGGGCAGGAGGATCACTCAAGCCCAGAAGTTCGAGGCTTCACTCGATTATACCACTGCCCCCCCAGCCCTACATGCTGTTTTCCATAAAGGCTGTGTCCGTTTATAGTCCCACCAACAGTATACTATCATTCCTTTTTCTCCACATCCTTGCCAACACTTATCTTCTGAGTTTTTAATAGTTGTCATTCTAACAGGTGTGAGGGATATTTCATTGTGATTTTGATTTGCATTTCTCTGATAATATGTGATGTCAAGTGCTTTTTCACGCACCTGTCACTCATTTATACATTTTGGGAAAATGTCTTTTTGGGTTATTTGTTCATTTTTACTTTGAGTGGTTTTCTTTTTGCTATTGAGTTGTATATATTCCTTATATAGTTTGGAAGTTAATCTTTTATCAGATATATGGTTTACAAATATTTTCTCCCATTTTGTAAGTTGTTTTGTCATTTTGTTGATTATTTTCTTTACTATTAAGAACCTTTTCAGAGCCGGGCTCGGTGGCTCAGCCTGTAATCCCGCGCATTTGGGAGGCTGAGGTGAGTGGATTGCCTGAGACCGCGGGTTCGAGAACCCCCTGGGAAACTTGGTGAGACCTCAGCTCTACAATAAATCAAAAATTAGCCAGGCGTGGTAGCGCACGC